CGCACCGGCCCCGGCCCCCCGGCCCCGCCGCCGCCGCGCCGCCCGCCGCGCCCCTGCCGCACTACCTGGGCGCCTCGGTCATCATCACCCACGGCAGGTGACCCGGCGGCTCCTGGGGCCTCCGCAGCCAGAAGCCATAGGCCGGGCCGCTTCGGCCCCGGTGCCCTAGCGTCCAGCTGAGGTCAGAGGGGCGAGCTGTATATGCACGATTTAAATTAATTTATACAGAGACGACTATTTTACTAGCACCCCGCCGCCGGCTGTTAGATTTTTACCGTAGATGCCATGAAGGCCGGCGGAGAGAGGACTGACCCCCGCCCGAGGAGCGACTGCCCGACCGTGGTCCTCCAAGAGCCGGCTTTTCCTAAAGGGCAGAGCCCCACGAGTGACCTCAAACTACCCCGTGTTTGGGGCCACCTGGTGTCCTTATTTTGAAATCAGGCCCGCGCGCCCTGCCTGCCCGGGATGTTCACCACCCACTATGGGATTGGAGGAGTTTTGGCTCCCCCAGTGCCCTCCACCTTAGGGAGGAGCGCACCCTGACGCGGTCAGATATGTGGGGTGGGGCTGGGGGCGGGCTTCCTGCATTCGGAGCCCTTTCAGATGTTTAAGTCCAGAAGCAGATTATCCCAAGTCCCATGAATAGACAATTCTCGTTAAGAGTCATGCATGAGTTTCATGAAACGTTGTTTTAACTCTTTAATACAAAAAGCCTACAAGCTGAGACCAAGGTGGCGAGCGTGCTTCTCAAGTACATCCACAGGCTCTTCCTTCCTCTGAGCTCTGGGTAACACCAAGAGCAGCACCTTCAGAATATTAAGCATTAAATGCAAAAAGGATGCACAAAGCCAGAGAGTTTAGGAGATGGACACGTGGGTGACGTAGGCGCCCAAAGCGATTGGCTACCCTTGTCAGGCAGGGTTACAAGGCAGAACCCCTCTGGCCCTGCAGTCCCCGAGGCTGTGCCTGCTGCCGGAGCTGGTGAGTTCAACTGTGTGTGCAACATGGGACATGGTCAGTGGACTGCGCCTCGCGGGAGAAAACACGCTCCAGGCATGTCATGAAAATGACGTGCGCAGTCTGCAGCATTTTCTATGTAGCAAAGCTCCAGGCGAACATGTCATGTCTGTTACAGGCCAACAGAAACCTCTCATAAAGCACCAGCAGTGTTTTATACTTTAATTTTTATAGTTTTACTTCAAGGTTTCACCATTTAAAAGGTGTGTCATAGCTCAATGCCTTGATCCGCCATCTGTCAATTTGCTCCACACCATGAATACTCCGTGTTGATTTTTCAAAAATGGTTTACTTTCGGGAAAACCCACCTGAGGGAAGGGCTTGCCACCAATGCCTTTAACTCATCGTCCTAGAACCAAAGCGCACCTTTGACTGTTTGAGAAAATGTGAAACCTGTTGCCAACCAAGTGTCACTGTGAGGACCTGCCTCCTTCCCGGGCAGCGTGTGGTCTGAGATGAAATTTGCAAGTTGAGGAGCACCTGTTGTTCAGCCAGGGGCTGGGTTACAAGAATGGACGTACGCCCTGCCTGCCTGCACTTAGCCGTACCTCATTAGCAAGCAGCCCTTTGCGAGTGCGTGCACATAAAACAAACCCGAGGGGTTACTGTTATGCTCACGAGGCTCATAATGAAACCGTGATTCCCAGAAGGTGGAGGTGTGATGAGCAGGTGCATCACCTGACATTTTTCAATAAAGCACAGCAAAATGCTTTTGCATCGACTTTGTTACTAGCCATTGGGGGCCATATTTATTAAGAAACAAACCACAAAGGCTTTCGGGGCAGTTTAAGATCAAAGGTCACCGTGAAGAAAGAGGACTGTTAACGATTTACAAATGATAACACCAACGGGCTTGACAAAGAGTGTGTATGTACTTGAGAAGACTGCCTTGTCTAAACATCTTATGTGAAGTAAGATTCCTAGGCAAGTTGGCAGGAGGCAGTCAGCAGCTCAGTGCAAACTTAAGAGAAGCAGTTACTATGGCAACCTAGTAGTGTTACCTCCATCTTTGAGAGGCTGCACATTTAAGCTGGGGATATCACTTCTTGATTTCTGTGAGGGGCTGGCAGGGGAAGAGGAAGCATTTTAATAAATAGCGCCCCCCACCACCACACACAAATTGTAGTGGGTCCTAACTTAATAGAAATGCCAGATCGAATGGATTTGAGAAATAAGCCCAGCTCAAGACTGACGGGGCCTCCACAGGGCCTCCCAGGGAAAGGAATTCCTTTATGTTCACGGAAGCCCTTTCTAGAAAAGCCATTCCATTCATACCTTTGCAGAGAAGTGAGCGGGGTGGGAAGCAGGGCCACTCAGAGATCTGCAAGAGCCTGTATTTTCTGCCTCCACATGTCCCCCCCTCACCCCCGTCCTTTTAAGTCCTACAGCCCTGTCTTCCTCCCTTGGACCCTCTGGTCGGGAGGGGTTTATACGGTCAATGACTCCTGTATAACGTCTATCTGAAGTTGTAATTTATGGTAACTGTAAGACAGTTAAGGTAGACTGCCACAGATAAGATGGAATAAAAACATTTTCAAATAAATGCTGGAAAATTGCAGTAGCTTAAAATGGTTAGTGAATCATAGCCCTGATCTAAAAATGCATTATTCAAGCTGATCCTAAACTTAAGTATGATCTATAAGGTTAAATCTTAAAACTGGCAAGACAGATCAAGCAGTAAGAAAAAATACAAGAAAAAATTCTACAAGAACAAAATATGTTCTTTAATTTGTTGTTACATTCAATTTATTTTAAATTTTAAAACTTACATTAAGTTGTTTTATTAAATTTATTTTTCATCTCAAACATTTATTCTTTTATTTTTGGGTTTTGCTAACTTTCTTTCTTTGGAATAAGAATTCTCTTTTGTATGACACAATACATTTGTCAAAAATACGTCTTAAAAAAGCACCGGCTTCTTAATACTTAGAAATACATACATATTCCTTACCTTGTAAAACTATTTATTTTGTAAAAATGTTTAAATATGAATAAAAATACTGTAACCAAAAGTAGTTGTCTATTTTTAAAAATGAAACTTGTGGTAAAAAATAACAAGGAGCTCAAACTGTATAGAAAGTCTTAAAGTTTATTTTGGTAGACTTGTGTTTTATAGGCATCGGCTTAAAGTAATTACTTTTCAGACACGATTCTTTGAAAAGCTAAAAATGCAAAGGTCGCCACTTCCTTTTATTTTGAATATGCATAGCAATTACCCAGGAATAAAGATTCTCCGTTTTCTGCCTGTTAGCAGCCAACAGGTCCACAGACTGCCAGCCTAAAATGTCTCACTGCATTCTCCATCTGCTGGGTGAGGCTGGCTTCTCCAGGTTTTCAGACTCTGGGGTGTATGTGGGGGTGGGGTGTGCTACCCAACCTGGGCCTGTGCATCTACCTCTCTGTCTGGTCACAAGTGAGGGTGCCGCAGCCATGAACCCCAGGACTGTTTCACACCAGACACAAATCCTTCCCACTTAGCCCACTCCCTGTGCATGCAGCCAGGCTCTGCCCGGCCGGCTCCTGAAATCCTCCAGGAGTGGTTTTCCTCACCCCCTGCTCCGTGGGCCACAGGAAGCCCAGCTCTGGCAGATCCTATGTTAGCAGGCACTTCTAAAAGTGTCCCCCAAATCTGCTTTAAGCTCAGAGAGACGTCCTGCCTTGCCCATAACCTGTCAGATGCTCAAGCGCAGCCTCCATCCACACGGGGATCACTCCATGTCCTAAACGCATATGGACAGCAACCCTGAGTTCAGTGTCCTGTTTCAGAGACTGAAGACCACGTAGTTTCTGTTAAGACTTGAAAAGCTCCTTGGGATGAGACTGCCGGGTGCATGGTCACCCCACATGGAGGAGGGGGGGTTCTCTGGTGCTGACAGCTCTAAGGAAATGTCTGTATGCAGCTGCTCTATGCGAAGCAGAATTTCAAAAAGTCTTTGGTTCATCTGAGGCAGAATCGGCTTTAGGAAAAGCTCAGCATCTGCTTTAAGTCCATTCTGTCTCCCTGAAGACACGGGACACGGCACGAGTAAGCGCAGTCTCGCACACGCAGGCAGCGCCGCCCGCAGCTCCCTCTGCTCCGACATGGCCACACTTCATTAGTTTTAATTTACAGAAAGGAAATTAAATGATAACATTTTTCCCCCAAAGCAGAGCTGTCCAGAATAGAACTTCGGCTTAAAACAAAACATAGCATGTTTTTCATTAAATAACCCCCCAAAGAAACGGGCAAGTAATGACGGCGGCTCTGAGAGATGACCTGCCTTCTGTTAGCAAGTCTGCGATGAATGCACCCGAGATCGCTCTTCTTGGTGATGCTTTGCAGACCCCTCTCAAGGGCGAGTCCGTCTTGTAGTGCTGGGGTGCGGTGAACTTCTATTTGCACTTGGGACCAACTCCGAAAGAAGACTTGGGCATTTAGAAGAGAGTGACCTTGGGGGGGGGGCTAATTCTAATTGAAGTCTTAGTTGCAAAAATTACTTTTGAAGTTCTTTTTAAAAAGTTACATTTCCAAAAAACACACATTGGGCGGGTGTACTGAACGTTCTTTTGCTCCCTTCCTGCGGGGCCACCCGTGCCTGGCTGAGGGCGCACTCATCTTCTCCAGCCCGACCGGCTGAGGGCGGGGGAAGATGGTGCTGGCTGCACAATCAGGCGGTTTTGTTCAAAGCTGAGCGCGCCATCAGTTTTCTTTCCGCTAATTTCACTTGGGACTGGCAGGAAGAGAGAAAAGTGGGCAAAAATCGGCCTTTTAAGGCTGAAAAGTAATGTGCATGATTCACACATTCAACAGAGATAGCAGTTACATGGAAAAAGCGTGGAGTACATCTGGAAACAGCAATGGATATCAAAAGGCTTCCTTTCTTTTGTTCTTCGGTGGAGACTTAGTATATCAGATTTTGAAGATAGTTTAAAGAGTGCACTCACACATACACACACACACACACCTTAAATGATGGCATTCCAAATCAATCACATTTTCTTTCTTGTCGATATCAGAAGGGGCAAAAAATAATGATTGACAAATACCAGGCCACGTGCTTCTGTGTCCTGTGAGCAGTCTCATAGAACGTTCCAAAGCCGCCTCCACGGGCTCCAAACCTCCCTGCGAGCGCGAGCCTCCATCCCCAGCTGTCAGCCCGGGCGCACCCCCATCTGGGCAAGGCCTCATCAGCCCTGAAGGGCTCTGACCCTGATCCCATCACTTCAGAATACGCAGTGAAATTAAAGCTCTGAAAGGAGAGCTCAGAAACCAGTCAGAGTAATTAACCAATTTCCTCT